GCAGGATTGAAGTTTAAAATAAATACGAGTGGCACATGGGCTGCCTTGAGCAGCAGGGGGAAAAGCAGCTGCCTTGGCCCAGCATGCGTGTGTTATGTAAGAAGGAAAAATTGGGAAAGGGGGAAAAAACGCCCCGCGAAAGCTTCAAAAAGTGATAAAAATCTTAATGTAGTTGCGGAACATTAGTTGGCCTTTTTTGTGGAAAGAGAAAATATGCCTGCTATTAAGACGACTCTAGAAGCCAACTGGCTTTTTTATGTGTGTGTTTTGCCTGGCCCCCAGCTCTGCGTAATGAAGATCCTATCTCGTACAATAAGCCTGACCAGCTGATCTTCCCCAGTACAAAGCAAAGTTGCCCTGCTTTTGTATTTAATTTCTTTTCAGCCCTGGCTCAGTTTCTTCTTTTGTTCTGGGCTTGTTTGAACGAGGCGGCTTTCTGCTAAAGCAGCAAATATGGCCGTCTCGACAAGGTGCTTCCCACCACGGTTTGCTGATCCACATCAGCTTAGATGAAGCAAGCAGGCAACACACGTGCGCTCGATGCTGCACCAGCGGCTTCTGATGCCTGTGTTTATTTGTGCAAACTGCGCAGGTTGTCGGACGAATCCAAAAACAGCAACGACACAGGAGGGACCGGCACGTGTCCATTCACATGGCTTGTTTGCGTAGGCTCAGAGGTTCAACAGCACAGCAGCGCTAGAGACAGCTGAAATGTTTGAATAGCCAAGTTGTTTCTTCGAGTTCCTGCTAAACTTCTGAATGGATCGAGTAGCCCTGCACAAACCACTGTTCATCTGAACACACAGGTCTTAGGAGAAATCTCCACACAGAACAAGCTGCTTCAAAGAGAGTGCAATAATTATAAGAATTTTAAGATGTTGATGTGATGCAAGCACATCACATGCCACACGAGGAGCCCTGCTGATTCAGATCAGGTATTCACCAACACATTTCCAGCACTGGCCAGCTAGGTACCTCCAGAAGCAATGCTCCATTCAGTGATGCTAAATGCAAGCATTATTATTATTATCATTAATTATATTCATTAGGAACATTTTTGCACTCAAGTGCCTGAAAGCAACTTGCACAGAAAAGAATTCATGGCCAATGCATTAGGGCTGGGCGATATATCAATATATTGTCCAAAATGGTTTTGAAGTTCACATCGTGATAATTGTTTCATAATATTTGAGCTGGCGATATATCATGAATCACAATGTGCGCAAGGGCTAGGCGATATCTGGGTTTCAAAACCGCGATAACTAACCAGTTAAACATTGCAATAACTCACTAGATAAATATCGTGACAACTCAGCTAAACGCTGCAATGTTATCAGCAGCTAAACCTCACAATATCACCAGCCAAATGTCACAATCTACCACAATGTCTGAAATAAGGGTGGAACTATACAGAGGTGAACAGGACAATATCCTGGCAACTGCTACTACTTAGGGGTCTAAAACGAATAAATGGCAACATTATCAATCATCACACACTCAGTTTCATCAGCAGGCATCAATATATTGCGATGTTTAGCTGGTAATATATTGCAATATTGAAAATCAGTTATCACCCAGCCCTACAATGCATCCATGCTGCAGGGCATTGATGGACAATAGTCGTGTGGGCAGGTTAACTGAGGGACTCGGCTACGTTGGTAAAGAAAAAACGCTTTGTCTGCATTATAATGACATTGTAACACCAGATGGCGCTGTGGAGCTCCCCTTTTCGCCAATGGGATTTCCCTTTATGAAGTTTACAATGTGAAGAAGAAAAGCATGCAAGACCAGAGGTGAATGTAGGATACCTGCGCAAAGCAGAGACCACTCTTTCAAACTGCTTCCATCTCTCAGGGGCAGGGGGAGTTTGTCTGTCTAAACCAAGATGTGGAACACTTTTCAGTCCGAGAGTTGGATATATAACTGGTCAACCCACTGGGGACCATTTCTGAGAGGTGGGTAGGTCCACCTATCTGTCAGTCACGTGACCATTGTATGATGTCAGGTGATCCAAATTCCAAGCGCCGAAGCAGGCAGAAGGTTAAAAGACAGCAGGTAGCTAAGCCTCTGCATGATGCTTTCTAAAAAGCAAGCAGAGGTACATCGCCAGTCTTGCCGCTGTGTTCCCGCAGCGCTGACCCCTAAAAACCCTGCAAATGTAAGGAATTTAAATTGATCAGGACTGGTTCTCAACATCTCCTCCAGCACATCTGGACAGCTTAATCTGAAGTGAAGAGATTTGTATCTCAAAAATGAGGCTGATAAGGAATTCAGACGGTAAGCTTGGGTGTGAATCTCACTTAATGGGATTTGCATAGGATTGGACTGGTCCATCCATCTCTCTCTGGAGGGATGTGTGCAACTGTGTGTAAAAACTAAATTGGTGGATAAATTGTGCACCTGTTGCTCTTCTCACTTGTGCCTCAGCATCCCTGACTACCAGCGACATGTGGCTCTCTTACTCCTTGTCTATGTGTCCACTGAGCCCCTGCATGGGGGACCTTGTGGGCCTTCCTCTCTCCCTGCCCAACTTTGACAGGTGGACAGGGCTACCCACATGTCAATCACCTGGCATAATCTGATGACGTGTCAAAGTTGTGTGTGTGTGTGTGGAGAATCTGCTTTCCCAGCATGTTCCCAGCACCCACCAGGATTGAATCCCTCTATCCATCATCAGCTGACCTACACAGGTAGTCACAGTAATGTGAAAATGCCTTCGTGGGTCAAATTACACCCTCTGACCGGCCACAATTGAGCCCTGGGCCTGATCTAGTTTCTGTTACTCTCCCCCCAACCCCCCCGATTTTATTAACGTTTTCACAATACAATAAAATAAGACAAATAGAATAAAAAAATAAAGGAAAGAGAGAAGAAAAGAAAAAAGACAAGAAAAATACTAATAATCATGATAAAACACAACATTATATGCATATAGTCCTCTATTATAATCATATGTTAATTTTCAGTCCACATAGGAAGAAGTGCGTCTTCCCACTTCCTCAGCCCCACACAGGTCCCTCTCATCTGTCCATCACCTCTCTGTATGTATCTTCATTTGCCCCAAACATAAATCATAAGAAATCAAAATACAGTGGTACCTTGGGTTAAGTACTTAATTCGTTCCGGAGGTCCATTCTTAACCTGAAACTGTTCTTAACCTGAAGCACCACTTTAGCTAATGGGGCTTCCTGCCGCGCTGCCGGAGCACGATTTCTGTTCTCATCCTGAAGCAAAGTTCTTAACTCAAGGTACTATTTTTGGGTTAGCGGAGTCTGTAACCTGAAGTGTATGTAACCTGATGCGTAAGTAACCTGAAGTGTATGTAACCCGAGGTACCACTGTATATGGCATGGCGTGCTCTGGTCCATGGGGTCACGAAGAGTCGGACACGACTAAACGACAACAACAAAGTTAATAGAACGCTGTCAAAATTTAACAACCATGTGCAGCGACGAGGGAACTTCTCCATGCTCTTCTGGATTGGGGGGGGGGACGTCGTGGGCAAGCACCTAGACCCCACCTGCTGGAAAAAACCAGCCAACTCTATATAATAACCCTAGTATTTCAGTTTACAGTGGTACCTTAGGTAAGAACTTAATTCGTTCCGGAGGTCCGTTCTTAACCTGAAACTGTTCTTAACCTGAAGCACCACTTTAGCTAATGGGGCCTCCTGCTGCCGCACAATTTCTGTTCTCATCCTGAAGCAAAGTTCTTAACCCGAGGTACTATTTCTGGGTTAGCGGAGTCTGTAACCTGAAGCGTCTGCAACCCGAGGTAACACAGTACTTGGGCGTTGCATCTCGAGCAATGTCAGCGCTTGTGCCAACACGCCCCCCGCCCTCGCGCAGCCTCACGGACTCTCATCCTTTTCTCATCAAGTGGCAAATGCAAACTCCAGCGTGGCCCGCCCAGCAGCCCTTTGCAACGGACGCAGGCGAGCCGGGCTGTGTGTTTACCTAGTGCCGAGCCTGGCGAGCCGCGCACGCTCCGGGCCTTGTGGAGCGCAGCGCAGCAGGGGGCCACTTTCTCTGAGTCACCGAATGCCAGCAACTCCCACGGACGCCTTTGATGTCCACCGCGAGAGTTCGACGGCGAATTTCCTGCAGACCATTCCGGGTTCCTGGAGCGGGAGCTCGGAAATCAGAGGCGGGGGCTGCACTGGGGCGCTCCCCCCAGTCACCCGCCCTCAGTTTGGCTCAGTGCATCGTCGTTCTTGCTGCCCCAGACGCCTGACCCATCACATTTGAGGAGGGGGAATCCCATTTGGCTCGCCAGAATTTTGTTGCACGCCAACTCCAGCCTGGAGCGGGTAGAGAATGAGACTCTTAATTTCAGGGTTGGGGTTTCGAGCCCCAAGTTGGGCAAACGATTCCCGCATTGCAGGGGGCTGGACTAGAGGACCCTCGGGGTCCCAATCCAACTCTCTACGATTCTGTGGTCAGAGAAGAGGGAGCTTGCTACGGGACAAGGATAACTGTGACTTTAAAGACGAATGGGAACCCTTTACAACGTATTTGAAGACGCAACAAAGTGAACTGGACTCCTTGGCAGGTTTTGAATAAACATTCACAACCTTTTTATTGATAATAGTCAGCTAAATAGTTTAAAACAGTCTCAGAGAAACCAAAGACTGGAACTGAGGGAAGTCGGGGTGGGGGGGTTTGTGTGGAAGGGTGGGGGGAGGGAGGAAAAATGGGGGGAAAACAAGGATGACATGTTTTTGGATAATATGTCTTGTTTTAATTTTGAATAAAAAAAGAGAGAGAGAAGAGGGAGCTTGCAACCCGCTGCAGCTTGCACGCCCCGTTCCATAGGAGCTAACTGCGAGGGGCCGTCAGCCCCCACAATATTTTATCCAAGTTGGCACCCCTGCCCCGTTCCCTCCCGGGAAGCAAAGCAATCGCCTTCCTAAGGAGCCAAGGCGCTCAGGATCGCGCAGCGGGAAGGCGGGTTTGCTAGGAGAAGGAGGTGGGGAGAGAGGTGGTGCCTGGCTCCCTATTGGCTGCTCAAAGCGAGGAGGAGGCGGGGCGGAGCTTTGCCCGGGAACCGGGAGGCGGGGCTTGCGGAAGCCCAAAGAAAAGGGGCTCCGGAGAGCGGAGGCGGCGCAGAGCAGACGCGCCTCTTCTCCGTCTGTTCGGGTTCCCGTCTCGCCTCCTCTCTTCCAGTCTGTCCCCATCGCGGCTGGGCGTCGTTCGGCTTGCAGCGACGCTCGCCTCCCCGAGGGCAGCTGCGATGCGCCTGATCCAGAACATGGGGACCATCGCCGAGTACCCCCAGGCAGGGAGCACCCTCAGCGGAGATAGCTGCGGCTCGGGCCGCCCCCGACTCATCAAGATCGCCGTGGTGGGAGCCAGCGGGGTGGGCAAGACCGGTAAGAGAACGGGACGCGCGGGGCTCATCCTGGCGACATGGAAAGGCGTGTGCGGGGCGGGGGGCGGGGGTGGACGTAGGCATACTGCAAGGACGCAATGAATATACCAATATTCAAGGGGGGTATCCTTCCCCAGTTGTAGCAAGAGGGCGGGGCTGGCCCTGCAGGGTCCAGAGGGAGCAAACCTACTGCCATTGTGACAATCTGTTTGCCCGGTCCAAAGTATGGTTTGAATATGAGGATAGCATCCCTGCCAGCGATTCAAAGCGCTCGCCTCTAATTTGGGGAGAAAGAGATGATGGCTAGCTAGGTAGCAGCATCCTTCTCCCCTTAGGTAAGCACCTGCTGCCAGATCAGGAATGGATGAAGATCAGTGACCAAACAAAAGCTCTGACACCCCCTGCTGCCCGAGCCTGACATGTGGACGCCTCATTAAAAGGATAACACCCATTCCCACTCCCTTGAAAATGCTACTGTAGTTGTAACTTTCATCATAGCAGTGAATCCTTAACCTGTGAGGGGTGAATGATTAGAAGGCTTCAGAATGCGTTCCTTCAGGCCGAAAGGTGTATCTGGATGACTGCTCACAGTTCCACTCTTAAAAGTATTTACTCAGGAGTCAGCTGCAGTGGATTCTGTAGTAGGATGTCTTTCCCAACAGAATATGCTTAGGATTGCAGCCTTTAATTTGCTTAACTGCTACATGCCAAGTTTTGTTGGCTGCTGCTACTGCTAGCCAAAGGTAACTCTAGAAAAAGATGCACTCTCCCAATAGCGTATTGAAACGCTGTCCCTGCTCGGGTGTCCTGTATGTGGAGTTTTTGGGTATGCAGACAGAAACTGGGGGAGGCTATTGCCCTTAAACACCAAGTGCAGATGACATTGTGTCTTCTGCTTTTTCCCCTTTCTAACCTGCACCTTTTTTTATTATCACTTACAGCCCTGGTGGTGAGATTTCTCACAAAACGGTTCATTGGAGACTATGAACGCAATGCAGGTAAGAAATGAGCCTTGCTGTATTCACAGGTGTGCACTGCGGTGTATTTTGACTCCAGCGACAAACTCAATGAAGCCTTTGGTGTCTCACTTCCAGAAAGCTAGACTGTACAATAGGGATTTCACTAGGAAAAGTCACTATGCAACGCTGAAACCCAGGTGTCTGGCCAAGTGTTATCAAGAGGACAAAAGGAATTTATACACTGACCTACTTTAGCTAGCACAAGGCGAGAACTGCCCTGTTTTTATTCTCACTGCAGCCACATTGGGATGTCAAGCCCCTCCTCTATAGTTTGACTTCGGAAGTTTTGTCCTCATTCACCAATCTGCTAAACACCCACCCACCCACCATTAGAATGAAACAAGTTCCAAGCTAAAGGAGGTGGGTTCAGTCCTATAACCTTTTCCCACTCCTATCTTTATGTAATCAACTTATTTATGCAAATAAGCTTGAATTCAAAGCCAAGTAGTTTGTTATTTGTGAAGAACAGCAGACAAACAAAATGAGGGCTTTCCAAGAAATTTCTGGACCACATGTGACCATGAATGGGGTGGGAATGATCTTCTATAATGCAGATAAACCAAACTAAAGTTTTCAGTATATTGGAGGCATGTTTAGGTGCCTCTCCAGGTGTTGATGAGAGTTTGGGGTCCAAGCAAGATCTGGGTGGCCCCATAACAAGGTGTACACCCATTAAAGCAATATTCCAATTTCCTGTTTTTGCTGTAATGAAGATGCAGCTTTATATTGAATTCATTTATTTCTTAGCATCCATTTCATTCCCCCTTACACAGGCTGCCTGTGTACTTTAAATCTACTTGCACATATTGTAGATAAGCATTTGTATCCACTTGGAGGGGTATGTATTTGCCTCAGCTTGAGCCAATAGTGTCAAGACCAAATATAGTTGATCTAGAATCAGTTGTGACAAAGCCTTTAAAGTCTCTTGTATAAAATGAAAACAATCCCCCTTTCCCATTAATCAGACACTGTAGCTAAAATAGGAGTGTGTGTGTGTGTGGAGGGCAGGACACATTGATTTGAGGGTGGTTGTTTTTTAACACAAGGCTGATTTGAGTGAAAAAGTTCTGTGGCCACGCAAGATCCCACATTGTCAAGGAAAGACAGCATGCTCCACTGTGGAACGTTGAAATCCTGCTAGTTCCAGTGTAACAGATTTTAAGCACATCCTTAACTTTCTTCTTGGACTCAGTGGAACTTAAATGAGCCTACGTTTGGCTAGGAATGTGCTTCCCATAAAAAGGGGCTAGACAACTAACTTGTTCCAAAGGTTAACTCTGCCAAGAGGTTTTTATGTAGGTTTGCTTCAGCATTTTAGCTTTGTAAGTGAAGCCAATTATGAAGAATTCTGTTGTGTGGTTTTTTGCCCATATACGCCATGCTTTCCTGTGTTTAGGCTGTAAACACTTATCTGGGGGCACATCCCACTGAACTCAGTGGGGTGTCTTTCTGAATAGACATGGGCAGGATTGTGCAGCCAGTCTTTCTTATGATGAAAGTACCATCTGCCTAATGTAGCAAAAGTGCCACTTTTTTTCAACAAGTCACAGATCCATCTCCACTAATGAGTGTTTTTCCTTTTCATTGTGCAGAGGTTAATGAATGTCAGTTTATAGTGCATGTACAACCCCCTCTCTGAATTTGTCTGATGAAGTGCATTTTTATTGCTAGGTAACTTGTACAGCAGACAGATTGAAATCGATGGAGAGTTGTTTGCAATTCAAGTCCAAGATACACCTGGAGTACAGGTGAGTTATGTTCCTGTGCCTTGTACCACTTTAAAGGGGAGCTTCAGTTTTGGCACATCTCAAGAAGTTCATTGTTACATATATTGATTCATAAGAATCCTAGTAGGGCTTTACTTCCAAGTAGATGTGGAAGGATCGTAGCTGTTTGAATTGGGATCCTAGCTGCATTGAAAAACTGTTTTGTTGCTAATAACTAGAGTTGTAAACAGTCAGAACTTGATAAATGGTCTGTATATCGTCCTCTGACAGTAAAAGAAAACAATCCACAATTTCAGCTAAACTGTTGTCTACTTGAAGACACAACCATCATGTTTAGGAAACCTGCCTTTCTTAAAAGAAAGGGGGAAAAACCCAAATGTGTTAAAAACAATTCCTTGGCAAACTAAGAAACACTTCATTTTTATTATTCTACTAAAGTGCACTGGAAATCTGGAAAGAAATTTCATTGCTATAGCCTAATCAACTTTAGTTTCATAAACACATGTGCAAAAGAAACTAAAAGTCACAGCCCTGGCAGCTGCACTCATTAAAATTTGTTAGGAGTTGAGTTTATATTACGGAAAGTTTGAACGTATAGGCATGAGTAAGGGCAAATTTTGCCTTTTTGAACTGGGCTGTTCTCCAACTTTAAATGTTTCCAGCTCATACCTTTGTTCTTTTCTCCCCACTCCCGACTCACTGTCTAGCCAGTTAATTTCCCATTCTACGGCACCACAAAGTCTTTTTCTCGAGGCAGAGTACAGCTTGAATATGGCAGACTTTGCAATAATTGAGTGTAGCATTTTTTTAATTATTTTTTTTGCAACTGGACTAACATGTGGAAATGTGGATTAAAATTTTAGAGACAACATGCAATAATAAACATGTAATGGACATTGTAAGCTTTCCTTTGCAGCCAAATATTTCCCCTACTTAATCTTTTTTCCTCCCCCAGGTCCATGGACACAGCCTTGACTGTAACGAGCAACTGAACAAATGTATTCGCTGGGCAGATGCAGTTGTGATAGTCTTTTCGATCACAGACTATAAGAGTTATGAACTACTCAGTCGCTTCCACCAGCACATACGGCAGCTGCACCCAGGAAACAGAGTGCCTGTGGTGGTTGTAGCAAACAAAGCAGACCTCCTCCACATTAAAGAGGTAGAACCACAACACGGACTTCAGTTGGCTGGCATGTTGGGTTGCACTTTCTATGAGGTGTCTGTCAGTGAGAATTACAAGGAGGTCTTCAATGCCTTCCACAACCTCTGTAAAGACGTCTGTAAGCAACAAACCACCAGCAGCACACCAGAGAAGAGGAGAAGCTCTCTCATTCCAAGACCAAAGTCACCCAACATGCAGGATCTAAAGAGAAGGTTTAAGCAAGCCTTATCTGCCAAAGTGAGGACTGTCACATCTGTCTGAAAGATCAAACTAAATGGGGTGGGGTTTCCCTCCCCCTTCCCAGTGCATATTTCTATAGTTCCAGCTTTGGAACATTAATTGCTGGTACTTCAGCATCCGAAAATCGTGCGAGAGAAAGAGTTCAGATGCACATAAAGCATTTTGTAATGAAGGAGTAACACTGAAGCTTGAATAAGCCCCCAAAGAAGTGGTGGAGCATAGAACGCATTTGATTGACTAAATGGACAATATTTTCATGTTCTGCTGTGGAAGTTAGGTCATGTTGATATTTGTATCATACACAATGAAGGACAGGGAAGAAATATCCTGAATGCAGTCTTACTGATGGGGAACAAATTGTGTGTTACATCCATTAGCTATATTTTGGTATTTGGTGGAAGGCTGTCTTCTTTAGTAGTCTTCAATGGAGCCGTCTGCTTTTTAAAAACCCATGGTTTAGAACAGGGGTCAGCAACCTTTTTCAGCCGTGGGCCAGTCCACCATCCCTCAGACAATGTGGTGGGGTGGACTATATATATATTTTTTTGGGGGGGAATGAACGAATTCCTATGCCCCACAAATAACCCAGAGATGCATTTTAAATAAAAGCACACATTCTACTCATGTAAAAACACGCTGATTCCTGGACCGCCCGCGGGCCGGATTTAGAAGGCGATTGGGCTGCTTCCGGCCCCCGGGCCTTAGGTTGCCTACCCCTGGTTTAGAAGCACAAGCATGTCATTGAATGAGTAAAAGAAATGTCAGTATAAAATGTGGGGGGCATTATTAACTGTATTTCTGATGGTGTGATGAGACATTTTGGTACCACAACTGTTGTTTAGTATCATTTTATAGATAGCTAAAAGTTTACTCTCACTGTCTCTAAGACAGTATCATTTTGATGATTCTTCAGAGACTGGTCATCTGATGCAGTGCTGCAGCTTTCCAGATAAGACCTTTTTTCTGTATTCCACTCATCATGAGGATTGTAAAGTTCCCACTTAATTGCTCTGAACAGGAATACAACTTCCTATTGTTTCAATCCAATCCAATTATTTGTCTTAGTCTATGAAACTGTTCCACTTTAGCTGAGACTTATCTCCAGCTAAGGCATGAGGGCTATTCCACTATTGCATAAGTGCTGTTTGTAGTAACATTTGAAAACACTGAGTTATCAGTCGTGTTATCCAGGATTTGAGGACTATGCGCCCGACACAAATGCACTTTAAAAACAAACAAACACCATGCTTGTTCCTTAAGCTGTAACTTATTTATTTTTATGTTGACAGCAACTCTTTAAATGGGACATCTTCATTTTGTTCCCGTGATTAAACCAAACCTTGTTTTCTCATCTGATTGTTGTGTTTTATATTCAGATGCCAAACAAGCTAGAAATGAGTGGCAAGACTCGTGAGAGACAGGGAAGTCAACTAAAGGCATTCAAGGGCTAAGGGGACCTTCAATCATTGGCTTGGCCAGTGACGGTTTGCAGGGATTAGTGTCTCTCTGATTTCAGTAACACAACACAAATACAGATGATCAAGACTTGCCTTTGCAGCCGTCTTCTGCTGTCCCCAACTGCAGACGTCTGTAATACAGACTTGTACTGCAGCAACTAAAGCAGTTACTGTATTATGCAAAAGCACCTGCCTCTTAAACCCTTTTTGGCATCGTTCTGTCATTCCTAAGATGCTGAAGACTGTGTAGTACAAAATCTGCACAATCCTCCTTTACCTCATCCTAAAAAACAAAAAGAAAAAAAGGCTATTGTATATCAATACTTTTTCAGAGTACTGGGAGTATCCCTTGTCAAGACAGGGTCTCTTCCCACTGCCTAAATCTGTATTTCCCACATTTTGAGAGCTATTCATGCCCGTTCACTTGTGACAATGGCATCAGAAATTCTGTACAAGCATCGTGTGGTCTTTTCCATTACACGCAATACACAGTGGTCCTTTCTGCCATATGCCCGTTTTCCTGCTTAATCTCCAAAATACTGACGTCTATTAACGCAGTGTAGCAGAACTGCAATGGTAACCATGGAGACTGCCAGCTTTTTCTTTTCTCTTCTCCAAGTGCTTGAAAACAAATAGCTATACAGATATGATTTGTCACCTGTCTATCAAATGCAGCCTGCGAGGTGCGTCCAATGTCTATTGCCATAAGTAAATGCTACAAAATGTGTCCTTTTCATTTAAGAAAACTTTGTCCATTGTTCCCCTTTTGTTAGCTGGGTTAGAGCCCAATTTAGATTACCTTCATGAAGGGCCATGAAATGAAATGGCTTTAAAAATGGGATGATCAGCATCTACTGGACTGGGGAAGGCCTAAACTGGTGGTCCACATAAATATTTGCTGGCTTACGCTGGAAAAAGGCAGTGCCTCGCTGTATTCTAACATTGTAAACTGCAGCAAAGAATCACTAGCTGGCTGGAGGAAAATCTCATATGCAATTCAGAAAAGAAAATTTTGTTTCTCTGCTTGATTTGTCAGGCATTCTTTCCTAATCTTAAACTATTCTACCATTGTTTTTTCAGAAAACTAGTTATAAGAGAAAGATTAGCTGTAGCCTTATAATGTTAAATCTGCTACAAATTTTTATCTGCTTCTTTTATAACAGAAGACACTAAGTAATCATTTCATCCAATAAACCCTGGTCTGGACTAACAAGCTCTTTGCTCTGGACTAACAAGCCGGCTTCTTCTATAAATGTTCTACATTCAGTAGCCAAAAGTGGAAAAGACTGACTTCAGCATGCAATGGTAGCAGGTTTCATGTTTGAATGACTTTTGGTGGCAATGTCTAAGGGAGAATAGTTAGCATATTGTGACCACCCTCAACATTTGGGATGGAGTAGGCTAGAAGTCCAATAATACATGCAATTGTGGGGGATGCTCCATATAGAAAACTAGCCATGCCTGGGAGATGTCTATGTGGAACCCTTCTCTCTAGTTTGTTAAAGGAAGGGAGGGTTTTTCATTGGAGGAAGCAACTGAGTTGAAGTGGGAAGGTCCAGAAGCTTTTATCGTATGTATCTACTGAATGTATAAACTGGCCCTGTGTCTACATGACAACCCAGGCCCATACAGAGTTTTTTGCTCTTAGTATGACAGTGTAAATCCGGCAAGCCCTGGGTGAGCCAATGAACTGGCTTAGCCCTCAGAGGTCTGGGGCAAGTGTACCCAGCTGCTCCACCCTCCACACGGGCCTATGGCAACCCCATGGTGCTGTGCACTTTCAACAGTTCTGAAACAATCCTACCTCATTTGGGTGTTCAGCTTTCCAGCACCCTAAATGTCCAATCACACTGGGCTGATTCTGTAGTATATTAATGTATACTTAGCTATCAAAGGCTTGATATTTACCTTCTGTGTAGCACCACTGAGATGGACACCACTGAAGAGAGTGACTCCACAATGGACCAATAGAAGATTTTTACTTTTTTTTTTTGGAAAGCACTGATAGGCAATCCCAGTCCTCCCTCTTTCCTCAGTGATGTCCATTGGTTGCCATTATGAAAACTGCCCAACATTAGAGCTCACTGTATTAGAGATTGTGAAGAAGACATTAAGGCACACTTTGTTGTCACTGACATATTCTGCTCAAACAGACCCAACATTTTCTCCAGGGGTATCTTATATTACAAGCCAGCCAACTGCATAAGCAAGATGGAAGGAAAAGCTCAGTATAAAAGAAAACGAAGGAAAAGTTCAGCATAGAAATGGAAGCACTGATAGTCATCTTCAGTGGTTCTGCGATGCTCCGATGAGACTGATATGGACAGGGAGGAACCTTTACCCTGTAGCTGCCAGCAAGAAAGAAAGAATTTCAGTTAAACACAGCATCACTGCAGAGAGAAGAACTGAAAGTTGGCTTGACGTCACAGCACTAATGAACAGATTTTCAAGTGCTATCTTAGCGTAGGTACTTTTCTCTTGCTGGCAGCTATCAAAGCAATTCCCCCAATGTTCAGATCAAGATCAGGAGTAATTTCAGAACCTCTCATTTTCTGCAGGAATGTCTCATGGGATAGAAGGCCAAGGGTTTTGATATTTTTCCGGCGAGTTGGGCTTGGTGCTCATCTTCTCTGATAAGACTCTTGGCTTGTCAAATGCCAATGTCTGGCTGGAGACGGTCCGTGGCAAACAGCAGCTCCAGGAGGCTAAGTGGTGTCAGGAGAGCTGTGGAGAATACAATTACCTGAAAAGAAAGAGAGATGCATAAAGAATAACAGAGACTAATCCCTGCCACCACTACCAGACACAGAGAAGTGTCAGGCACAGTTTATGACAAGGAGTTGTGTTTCTGCAGGCAAATAAATACAGCTTCACTAAAGCTCAATGTCTTATTATAGATAGTACTATTATTGGAAACATCATAATCAGAAAACTTGTACCCCATTGCATAATTTTCTTTTCTTTCCCCCCAACTTATGGGCTATAGCAATGTTCCTTATTTTAATTAATTGTCAATCTGAATATACCTGCAATAGGTTTACTGCAACTGTGTTAATATTTTTGTCAACAAATGATTCAATTTAAAGCTGTTGCTTCTTTTTGGCTTATAATGCATTTTAAAAATCAAATGTGTTTTTTTCCTAGCATGTGCTCAGCAGATTACAAAATTTGCCTTCTCGCATTTGTAAGAGATAATAGTTAACCTGTGTCATGCATTGTGCAGTGGCGGATGCTGGGTCTCAAATTTCAGCGGTATCCTGTATGGCGCCCACAATCAGAGCCCCTCCATCGACTAAACATTTTCAATTGATTAATTATTTCTTTTAAGCTGATTAATCAACCAATTAAATTTATTTAACATCTGTCAAGTACCAAAACCTCAATAGAGATGCCTTTTGAAATTCTTACCCATTAATAATAAAGACAATCTTTACTATTTCCTTCTTTCACAGTAAGAATGAAATAATGCAGTAACTAAAACAGGTGTAAAAATGATAGGAGTAATGGAAATATATCCTTTTTGCATTCTCTGGGTTGTAATCAATTCCAGTCATTACTAATGCCAGTTATTAATCACTGTTTGTTTCTGCAAGGTGGCCTTGTGCTTCTCTGAGACATTCACAGGTATTTTTAAGTACAATCCTTAACAAAAAGAAATGCCACGAATAAGCAATTTTCTCTTTGTGTTTCTCAATGAAAGGCACGGCTTCTCTTATCATCATAACCATCTCTGTATTTGAGATGTGAACTGTGAACTGAACCACACGTTCTTTAACTTTGCATTTAATCATCATTTGCTTATACTCCAACCAAACATTGGAAGTGATCGGTATCTGTTGACAGGCTCTTTGCTTGTTGCTGAAAACACTTTAGATTTAACAACCCTAATCCAATTCCTGTTTAAAAGGGACACCAGCATAAACTGTGAACTGCAAGGTGTTGTTTGAATAGAACGGTATGCCAATAGCAATGTTTTCATCTGGGCCTGAGATTTAAAAGTGAGTGACACGAGGCTTCACATAAACAGCTTTGAATAGTGCCAGGATCATTGAAAACATAATCCTGAACAGGTGGTCAGCATTCAGAGACCCAGAGGAGTCCAGGTAAATCCAGATGATTTGGAAACTTTATGTGAGAAAGACTCAGATAACTTTTTTTCAGGGTGGGGTGGGGAGAGGCATAGGATTCCCCTTCCCTTCCACTCACTCCAAAGCTTTTAATCTCTAATGTAACAGCTTTATACATAGGGGTATAAAACAATGAGTATGTTCTGAATTCTTTGTCTCAAGGGGTGACCCATCGTTGGTGGGGTCAAGTCAAAGCAAAGCAACACCAGATTCCATGTCACTCCTTGTCAAACCTCAATCCCTCTCAGATAGTAAGCCCAAAAGCCTGGCTACATAGTTTAAACTCTTCTCACTCATTAAACCTCTGCTTATCTTTCAAGCCGTAGTTATACATTTGGAGTCGGGATTAACTTGTCCATCAGTGTACTGCAAATTCAAGGTCTGCCCAGGGCAGCGAAGAATTTGATTCCCTGGGTTAAGGGGATAATTGAGAAGCAAAACGCAAGCGGGAGAGTTATCAGATGAAAACGTGTTGCCGGAGAAAGCATTTAAGGCTTGGGAACTATTGAATGAGCTCTTAACTCAAGAATGCCATTAACACGCAAAAGGCATCTTCTCCAGCCCTGCATTGCTTCAACACCCACCCTGCTTCCACCTCCAACATTTTCACTAATCAAACATGCGGCCACCATGATTTATGACAGGAGTGTTTGCATGCTGTTTGTAGAGCAAAAACATGCTATTTATGTACCATGGTGGTAGAGAGGGATGTCTGCCTGGATTTCTGGTGGAGCCCTGAAGAAAACTGTCATGACAGCTCCTTGTAAGACTGGCCCACCCCAATGATACCCACTCAGAGAGGAAAGGAGTGGGGGATCTTTCTGTGAGTGTACAGTCGCAGCCAATGACTCATGGGGAAGCCATGATTATGCTGTGAAGGCTCACAAAATTATAGCTGCAGCTTGGCAGACGTTTAAGCTGACCCTGACTGTGTACACACAATAATTTGCTGGATGACCGGAGTACAAAAGCAGGCCAGTGTTGGCAGAGCCTGAAAAATTGCCTAGGCTCCCGAAGCAGCCTCCCATCCATGTCCCTAGTTCTTGGGTAGGCATCAGATAATTCACAAGGGGTTGGGGGATCCTGACGGGAAGCTGTTTGGTAAACTGCCCTCTCTCTGTGGTGTAGAATTCTGGAGTTCCTCTCTAGTCTCAGGCCTCCATGTTCCTCATCCCAGCTTGAGGTGGTACTGTACCTGCTACTGCCATTCTCTGATAGGCTTACGTCTTTCTTATGTCCCGTCTCGCTAAACTCAGTCGCCAGTGTGGTAGGGCTACACCTCACAACAGGCTGTGTTATGGACTACAACTGACACCATTCCTGATCAGAGAATCATAGAGTTGGAAGGGACCATGAGTGTAATGTAGTCCCACCCTCTGCAATGAAGGAATATTTTGCCCATGCAGCTCAAAGAGAGCCAGTGTGGTGTAGTGGTTAAGAGCGGTAGTCTCGTAATCTGGTGAACCGGGTTCACGTCTCCGCTCCTCCACATGCAGCTGCTGGGTGACCTTGGGCTAGTCACACTTCTCTGAAGTCTCTCAGCCCCACTCACCTCACAGAGTGTTTGTTGTGGGGGAGGAAGGGAAAGGAGATTGTTAGCCGCTTAGAGACTCCTTAGGGTAGTGATAAAGCGGGATATCAAATCCAAACTCTTCTCTTCTTCTTCTTCTTCAAACCCACAACCCTGGGATGAAGAGTTTCATGCTCTACCAACTGAGCTATCTCAGATGGGTGGGGCTGATGGGAGCTTGAGTTCAAAAACATTAGAAAACTACCAAGCAGCCTATCCCTGGTACTGAATGCACCACCCCATGTACTCAGTTATTTTGAGTGTTATTTGTTCCTATCTGGAGCATAAACTAGGTAGTAGACAACTTTGAACTCCATAGCTATGTGCCCATATATGCCCTCCTCCCTCCAGCCTACAAGGCTGGTTCCACATGTGCAGCAGAATGAGGTGAGAAAGAAGTGGTAGAATAATAGAGCGAACCACCTCAGGCGGATGAGCAACTGTCTAGAAAACTCCTCTACATAAAAACTCCCTGAATGGAGAAAACTAGCACTGCAGGGAGAAATCTAACTAAGAACCTTTCTTCCTGATGTGCTAACTTTCAACCTGAAGGAGTTTTGCTTTATTTTTTTAACATGATGAAGCATTCAGAAACGCCACCTGCCACTTGAAGTCTGAAGTGGCACAGTCTGCTCCATCACCTCAGGATCCCACCACCTCATTCTTCTGCATGCGGAGACCCAGCCACACCTTGGAGCTTTTCAGGTTTGCTTTATCCTGTGGCACATTTTGGGCAGGGGAAAGGCTTTTGTGGATTATAGGGGCCGTTTGTGTGAATCCTTCCCATTTTTTCTGCAGAGCGTGCCACTTCATTCAAGCCGAGAATCGAGTCTTTGTGACCCCAGAAAACTCTTAGCATCAGATTGAGACTGAACCCAATAGTTCTACATCCATATGCAGAGATGTTCTTGTTGCTCTGAAAAGAGTTTTGTACCTGTACTCCGGGCTTGTGTGCCATTACAAGGTCCTTTACCATTTTGACTTCAGACACCGTCACTCCACCAACCACGAAGATGATAACCAGAGGATGATCACTAGGGTGAGGGCGGCTCACCTATTAAAGGAACAGAATTAAGATGCTTATGTAACTTGAACTATTTATTTATTTAATTCCCCCTCTCCAAAGTAAGGAATATGCTGCCTTTCAGAGCAAAATCCTCCGATGGCAGCTGACATCGGAACCACAATATAAAACTAAAACATTACACATTAAAACAGCAGCAGTTAAAACAATTTGGAGTGCCACATATTGAGATGCAACTTGGATAACGATAATAATCAAGTTTTCAGGGTCTGTTTCAAAGCCAGGACACTAGAGGCCAGCATATCTCCTGGGGGGGGGGGAATTCCACAAGCAAGGGGCCACTCCAAAGAAGGCCCTCTCTTTTCTGCCTGGCAAGCGAACAGATCATGAACAGAGACCTCCTTTCCCTTCTAATTAACTCTGCCCTCCATTTTCTATGCCCATTTACCTATGCATCGTTGCTATGGTTGCAGCTTCACCCCTAAGATGGCTGCCCACCTTGTCAGATTAGAGAGAAGAGGAAACTGGATTCTCATTGCTTGATGACAGTAACAAAGCATGCACGTAACAGCCTCCTAAACCACTTCTAGGCTGATGGTGTGGAAATCTTTTGTAAAAATGCAACTTTAAAAGTATAATTTGCTTGATGTTCTCTTGCCATCTCCCAATGAAAAGATGCCAGTAATAGGTTTATTTAAAATAAATCCCTTTCTAGCTTAACTATTAACTCTGACAAGCTAGGAAGCAGCAGATCTGAAAGGCATGGCGACATCCAGATATTCTGCTGCCTGTTTTGTAATAGATTTATGAGTCAAGTCAAAGAAGCCCTTGAAAGAGAGAAGCTGTCCTTTGTAAAGGAAGACATAAGGGCACCCTAGGTGGACAGACCAGAATGGAGAGAGGGGTGTGCGGTGCTATGCTAGCAACTAACTGCCTCATCTTGCAATACCATTTGTATTATGCATTTGCTCTACTGATTGAAAGCACTAAAAGTTCCATGTCCGGATGGAACCTGTACTGGGCTTCCAAACTGCAATTTTGAGTGTTGTTGTTGTTTTTTGCAAGGCTGGTGAAAGACATTTCACTGGAAGTGGCAGCATGCTCAGGATCCCATGCAAAGTGGCTCAGGATTCCTTGCCAAAGTGGTTCGATTGGGAGCAAAACACGAAACAAAAACGGAAGGGCGACGCAGACTGCATTCCTTCCCTTCAGCCACCTCAAAGCAGGCAGGCTGCACCGAATGTGGTGGAGAGGCCACCAAACCGCATGCGTACCCTCCAACATTCCTCAGAGGGGAATAGGGACATTTTACACTCGCTCCCAACCCCCCCATTTTTTGTGTCTCTCCACCCAGTGGTGAAGCTGCATGCTCTGCTACCGGCGGCGGAGAGCAGGCGTGGCGTGGCTGGTGCCCCCGGGGTGTGGCACGTTGACCATGAGGGCGTGACACTGTGGCAATCACACAGGGTCCCCAGACATTTAACGGTCTATTGATCCCTGTGCCACCACAAGCGGCTGTGTTGCCATGGTAACAATGGCCTGCCCTCCTTTGTGACATCTCCTGCTTCTCCCTTAAAAGCCACCAACTACAGGTGTCCAGTGTGGGTTAGTGAGGAGAGACAGAGAGAGGTGTGAAGGTGCGGTTGGTGGTGAGAGAGAAAGCAGAGGATTTGGATTTTCTTCTGATTTTGACTGCTTAAAGAGGAGGCGGAGCCAGCATCAACCATGCGGTCAGTTCCAGACCTTCAGGAAGAAGGAAGGTTCAGCGGACTTTTCCTTTGCGGAACAGAGTGGCTCAGGCGACTGAGAAGCGTAATGCAGCTCAAAAAGAGCAATAAAGTGGCCCCGCTCCAGCACAAGGAGCAGCCTCCTGTGGCACCAGTTGTGACAAAGCTCTTCAAGAGTTTTCCAGAGCTTGAGAAGGCAATAGCCCGACATCGGGCCCATATTAGGCCAGCACCTGAAGAAGAGGACATAATTGTAGAAGATCTAGAATGAGCTTCCAGCGTGACGGGTCAAAGGAAGGTGCTCCACTTTGGAAGAGTTAAAAGGGAGTAAGGGAAGAACAAGGCCGATGAGATCAAGGTAACCCTCCAGCCTCTCCTGAGCTGCAGAGGCACAGGGCAGAGAGGCGGAGGGAACTAAGTTCCCACAGGAGGAGTGCTTGCCTCCAGGCCAGGAGAGGCGAGTCACCAGAGGATCGGGGCCGCCCTATGCCTCGGGGCAGATAAAAGCCGGCCAGCCCCAGCCCCAAGTTGTGGGAGCAACATTGGTTGCTGGTTCCTGCCTGAACCCTGTCCTGCTTTCCTGCCTGAGCTCCTGATCTGCCCTGGCTCCCTGCATTGCATGCCTGTTCCTGACTTCACCCGACTCCCTGCCCTGCGCCCAGCTTCAGCTACTATGGACTGCCTTCACGTTGCACCTTTGACCACGGACCGGACTTGGACCTCGCCTGTCGGGTAACCCACGGGACCAGCACAATGGGGAAGGAGGGAGAAAGGATTGAAGAGAGGTGAAAATGGCGGGGACAAAAGGCTGACTGCTGACTCACCCTTACCGTGCGAGGAAGAAACCAGAAACAATGAAAAAAAATTAGGCCTTTTGGGGATGATGTTGTGGCGATCACACAGGGTCCCCGGACGTTTGACAGTCTATTGATCCCTGTGCTACCACTGTGCTCGCTTCCCCGCTGCCACCAACCCGTTACTCTCGGGTAAAACACTGAGTCCAGACAGTTGTTAAAAGTGAACCAAATAAACAAGTTTATTTTATAAACATTAACAAGTTTATGGTTTCCCAGATAATATTCCTGTCAGTATCTTAACTTTAGTTTCTTTATTGGCCTATACCTTCCTAATACCTTCTGACTGATTATCTCAACTCTTTCACTGACTCCTCTTAACAAATTCTCTCACATCAGACTAGCCCAACCCATAGACTTATCTTCTCTGTCTCTTCTAACTCCAGATTGTCTTCACCACCACCCTAACTCTAATTCACTTCCCCTTGGGTTCCCATTGGTTAGTCATTTTACAATTAGTTAACCCTTTCCTTATGAACCCAATATGATGTCACACACCTAGGAGGGCAAACGCCGCATACACGCATCCCGGGGGCGTGGCAATGCACCCGTGAGGGCGTGGCACGCTGCCCGCAGGGGTGTGGTGCATGTTCTGGGCGTGTGACGCGCTGCCTGTGGGGGCATGGCTTGCAGCACGTGTCTGGGGGGGGCCACCCGATGGCACCCTACCGGAATAGTGGTGCTGGGGGCGGTTTGCTCCCTCTGCACTCCTGTTCCTTTGCCAGTATCTCCCCCCCAGCATTTCCACCACCAATACACCAACAGGACCCAGCACACACACCCTCCGCCGTCCTGAGAAAACCCCTTAATCCTGATTTTATTTTATTCTTTGGTAGGTTTACAAAAAGAAAAACACACACCAACAAATACATTTTGGAAAGGGGAAAGATCAGACGCAGCACTCAAAGTATTTCCTTTGTTTAAAAAAACAACAACCCAGGACTCCTTAAATTACGCTCCCCCTTTCTTCCTGCCCTGTGCCTGCACCTCAGGGCTGGGGTGTCACATGAGATTGGGCTTCTCCAGCAGTCACTACCAGCTGCCCAAGGGCCACCAGCTGCCCAACAGGCCACGGGATGCTCCCTTGCACCCACCGCTGCCTCCGCCATCACTCAAGACAAATGCAGGCTCGTCTAACTCCCCAAGTTTGGTGGCGGTGGCACTGATGGGGGAAATGGGGACATTCCAGGATCAAATCAGAAGCTGGGATGGCTTTTGTCATTCCAGGCCTGTCCCTGGAAAATAGGGACACTTGGAGGGTGTGCGGAAGGTGCTGCTCGCCATTGCCATTTGGACAGCTTGCGTAGGTACCTCGGCCCTGATCTTCTAAAGGCAAAATAAGATGGTTTTATTTGGACAGGCCTGTGGCGAAGAAAAAGACAGGGCTGCATTCAGCCAAGTCACCCCATTCATGCAAGGAGCTCTGTGTGCACAACAGAACTTCCCCCCAGTTTCTTCCCCGCCTCCAGGCTGCTGTGGAAGCACGGCTATGATTTTATTAATGTACAGCATATTTTTAAAGGTTTCCATACTTTTCATTTTGAATACTACGATACCCCTTCCCTTGCTAATTAAATTAAACCACTACTTATTTTGATCTTTGCTGGCTACGGCTAACCATTTGTCCTCTATTACACACAGTCAAGTTCCCTCGCCACCAGTTCCCTCGCATGCTGTGTCACGCTCCTCAGAATGACTAGTAGGGGCTCTTTTGGTCTCTCAACAAGATTGTTTACACAGTACGAAGACCGAAATCCCTGTCAAGCAGTCTTCCCAGGTGCACAGCTCTTGAACATGTACATAATTTAAAATTAGCATCGCCAATTGGCAATCAGATAATGGGCCACCTACAGAGATGGGGAGAAGGGCAGACAGACTATGTGTGGGTAATGTTTTCTCTCCGCAATCTTCTTTTGCTGTGAGTTTTTCAAGGGGAGGGGAGATTATAGTATGTTAGGACACACACTGGGTTTGCCACTTCGGCAATTCCAACGTATATAAAAACATAATAAACATAAACATTTTTAAAAAAACCCTTTTCCTATACAAGATTGCTTCAGACAGCTCAGGGTCAGATAACTCCAACATTTCTCCAATAGAAAATAGGGATATCCTACCATGTGTTGTTGTAGTCGTTCGACTTCGTGACCATACCGAGACGAGACTCTGTTCACTACTCCGCATTTGGTATCATGTAACTCAAAAACTATCACCTTCGTCCTTGTCGCCTTCTTTGTGCCCTCACTTTCCGATCAGTGTCTTTCAGGGTCTCTCTTTCATGGAGTGGCAAAGTACTGGGCTCAGCTTCAGGATTGTCATTCCTGGCACCTCGGGCGATTTCCTTAGAATGGATGCTTTATCTTCTAGCAGTCCATGGATTCAGATCTTCCGCACATATTAAAACATTCTCGGGACCTTTTTGGTCACTCTCACTTCCATACATGGTACT